TTCTATTTGAAAAATACAAAATACAAAAATACTGTTACTTGTTTGAAAAATAATCTTGTCTCAGAAGTAATATTTTTCAAATGAATAATTTAAAGTAATTTTCATGTAGCATGCATTTGAGTACTTTTGCTGATTTTATTTAACCAAACCTTGTATAATTTAAAACTCTGGCCAATTATATAGCAAATGACAAGAATGAAGAAAAAAAAGAATTGGTCTTATCTTTGTATTTCAAATTAATTACAGTTGTACAACATATAATCAGAACAGTGAGTCTCAATGTGAATCTGAAACCMCTGAACAAAAGGAAACTTAAGCTTCAAATTTAATAAAGCAAATGTCAATCTGACAGGCTGTGTAAAACAAATGTGGCATTCACTCTGTAGTTTTAAAACACAGCTGCAAAGAATTGGCTAAGTTGGTGGTTACAAAAAAACTCTCATTGTACAAGTATCATAGCTATTACTATGAATGTATACCTGAATATGGGGAATTCAAAATTAATCAGAACAAATATGTTCATTTCATTTGAAACACATTGCAAAAAATCTCCACAAAATCTTTTAATTAGGTTTGCTATATACTGCTACTTCTCTTTCCTTAAATAAAAAATTTCCATAGAGATGTAATACCTCCTTCATATATTCAGTATCTCAGCAACTTGGACAACATTTACCTGTTTAGTAATGTTCACCGAAGAAACCTAATCCAACTSCCTTGTAAGGAATCTTGTTTGGGAAGGTTTCTATTAAAGAGCCTTTGAGCTCTAATGCTGCATGTTATTTAAGCCTGAGTTTAAAAGTAAAAGTGCCCGTAATTAACCACAGCCTTGTATGCAATACCCAAAAAACCCCAAAACCCAAAAAAACAAAACCAAACAAGAAGAAAACAAAAAAAAATCCCCATCTTACATTAAATGGATCCTCACAAAATGAGAGTTATCACGAGCTATAGTAGCACTTTTGATCCAAGCTACATACAAATATTCTAACCTTCATGTTCTGTGAGCAATTTTAAAATGTCAAGAGGTATGTCAAGTTCTTAGTACCAAAGTCTACATATTTAATTGTCAACAGGCTAAATACTCAAGACAAGAGAGTTGTATTAATTCCAGCTCAACCCCAAATTAAGATGTGTTGGCAATCATGATGTTTCTTCCTCTTAAACTAGGGAATAGTGCTTGGTTGCCCATATTTTAACTACATGCTTATTTTCTAGAACACCTACTGCATTGTTCATTTCAGCTTTYGTTTCAAAGCAGTCAGGCACAGGAGATCTCTGCAAGATTATCATGTTACGCCATTGATCCTCACGAGGAGAAGACTCAATTTGCTCAGTAATAAGCGACCCGGGTCAAAGGCCATGACGGAGAAAAGACAAAAGGCATTGTTTACACCTGTGTCAATCAGAAACAGCTCTACTGAAATCCACTGAGTTATATTTGCCTCAAATCCGAATGAAAGATTGCTGTGTTTGCCGAATCTGGATTATGTGGCAGCCAGGAATTCACATTTATTATTCTAATGCAGGAAGCATTACAGACTGCTAAATTRAAGTACTAGTTTCCTATCACTGGCTTTTAAACCAATATTGAGTTTTATTCTCTCATTGGCAATTCAAATTCATGTCACTGCTTCAGCCTGCTCACTTGCATTGTGTTGCCTACTGTGCTTCATAATGTGAAGCAATAGATTCTTAATTTTGGATTAGAGACTTCATCCGAGAAAACAATAATCAGTGTCATACATCTTAAAGAAAAAAACACAAAACCCCATCTCATCCAACTATTTGTAACTACTAGCAAACTTTTGGCTATGCAAGACTGTATTTCTTGACTTTCGATGTTCACAGAACCACACATTTCTAAATACTCCAAAACCACATGCAATTTTAAAAGCATATTTCTGACTACACAGACGCAAGATGATTTACAAAAAAGGATTTAATTTGGGAATTTTAATTTAGCTTGTTCAGGAATCTGTTTGGAAGCACTGCATGGGATAGAGCCCGGGAGAGATGATTTGTCCAGGGGAGCTGGCTTACTCTCTCCAAGCTGGATCACCTGCTCCAAGCTCAAGAATGGTCCTTTCAGACAAGCATGAAACCAAGCAAACATGGCATGGTTGGACTTAGGAAAGCCAAAGTCTATCTGAAGTGAAATTTGGTGAAGGACATGAAGGTCAATGAAAAAGGGCTTCTGTAGGTGTATCAGCAGCAACAGGACAGCTATGGAAAATGTCTGCCTGCTGCTAAATGGGGTGTGGGACCTGCRACAAAGAACACAGAAAAGATCAAGAAATTCAGTGTCCACTTTGCCTCAGTCTTTTAATGGTAGGATTTGCCCTCAGGAATCCCAGCCCTCTGAAACCAGAAAGTCTGGAGAAAGAAGGACTTAACTCTGGGCAGATCAGGTGGGCACACTTAAACAAGGTGGACCTACACAATCAGTGAGACATGATGGGATGCRCCATAAATGTGGAGCTGGCCAATGTCTTGTTTATCTTGACTTTAGCAAGGTTTCTGGCACTGTAACTTCCTCATAGGYAAACTGGTGAACTCTGGGTGAGATAAACTGGCAGTGGGGTATAGTGAGAACYGGCTGAACACCAAGCTCAAAAGGGATGTCATCAGCAGCACAAAATGCATCTTGAGGACACTCCCTTGTGGCTGGTACTGGGATCAATGCTATTTAACATCTTCAATAATGAMCCACAGGGTGGGGCAGAATGTACTCTCAGGAATTTGCTGATCATACAAGACTGRGAGGAGTTGTTGATACACCAGATGGTTGTGTTGGCTTTCAGAGGGACCTTGACAGACAGAGAATGGGACACCTGCACTGCTTTGGCTCAGATGTGGCATGAAAAAGTGATGCACATTTTCCCAAGTGGGAATCTACTGAAATGGCAGTTTATTGTCATAGGAATACAWTGATTACATTAATCTGCTCAAGAAGTAAATGAGGGAGAACAGATCATTTCATATGAGGAATTTATGTCCCACATTGTTTAATTCAGAATAAATGTGAGAATGCAAGAATGCATGTATTTATCTTACTTCCAGTTTAGACTTAGATGAAATACAACACAGRCAGCAACATGGGAGGACTTCTTGTTGGTTTGTAAATTTTAGTAAACATGGAAACGTAAGATAATTTATCCAAGTGATGTGGTCTACCAGATACCAGTAAATGCAATCTCAGAAGCTATCTTTCATGACAGTCACTTAGTAGCAGCAGAAATCTTAGGAGTCATAAATTATGTTTCAAACACATTCAATTGTCCAAAGTGACAAATTTTAGTCTTTCAAATTCATGCTTTCAAAAACCCTAAAATAATATTTTCTTCCACTGCAAAACTAGCAAATTTTTAGGGCTCCTCTGACCCAAACTATTCACAGTCATTTATGAACATTCTGAAGTGCTGTCATTATGAGGCTTAAATATTTTCATACCACAAACATGTACTCCTACATAATGATGAGACAAAATAAGAAGAAACACTGGCAAAATGGAGATCAATAATTTTGACCATTAGTCTATATAGCTCTTCTTCCAAAAGCAATTAACTTGAATTTATCTTACAATTAAATGAATCATCCTCTGGTGACCTTATTGATTATAAACACAACCTGAGATGGCCCCCGTAGGCCAGGGTGGCTAATGTGAAGATATAAAAGTCAGAGAATGGATTCATGCCCACAGCRGTATCAACAATTTCTCTTGGTCCTGGTGACAGAAAAGTGCTAAGAAATGGCAGAAGAACACAGCATGGTTTAAGTGATGTGAGGTTATACTGTTGTAGTATACAATGAAACAACTGCTTTTAAAATAAACTACAATCTGGATACATAAGGTGAACCTAATACACAATCCAAAACTTTAAGCAAGGTATTTCTTAACCTGTTTATGTTGTCTGTAAATATAGGGAGTCCCAAAGCTTACTGTACCAAACGTTTTATTATTTCAAACAAACTTCTGTACAAAAACATCAAAGCAGGCAAAGGAATGCCCTGACTTCAGCAAACAGCACATGACAACTCACAGAATGCTTTAAGGTTTACATTTTTATTATACAAGTGACAAATAGCTTTCCTCTGGGCTACTTAAAGATAAGACTTCATTGTTTGACAAAAAATTGCAGGTAAGCATGTATCAACTTCAGTTACCAAAGCTCAACAGAATGGCCTGTCATCCACCTAATTTACCTAACTGGAAGTGACTATGAACAAAGCAGGATTTCCCCTAATATACATTTTTAAATGTCCCCCCATTAAAAATGGAGCTTGTAAACAGTGRATTTACTACTGTGAGAAGTGTGATCATTGCTTTCAGAAAAAAAAAATTCTAATGTGAGTTCGTTCTAATTCTGTCCCCAACAACAACACGTAACTGGCTGCTGCACCTGCAGAGGTGTGACATCAATGCTGGAGTTGTGGTGCTGTCCAATATCATGACATGTATGACATTGGCACCTGTGGGTTCTGATCAGGCCTGAGAAACCTCACAGTGGTTGTTCTGTTCAGAATAAACTCTTAAGTCAATCCCTACTCCAGAGAATTTGTGACATTAACACTGTTTAAGGACTGAGTTCAATGACAGCTTGTCACAATGCAGCCGAGTTACAGCAGACCAAATACCTTCCAAGTCTTAAGGTAATGTTTTTAGAAGAGATGTGCATGAAAATTCCAGTGAAAGCACACAAACTCTGATTTATCTACACAGGAACAAGCAAATACAAATCTGAATCTGTGCACAAGCACTGGAGTTTCCACACGTACATGCAAAATACACAAAATCAAACACATTTTCAGAACGTGATCTCTGCAAGAGTATGTACAGCAACTGCAGACCACCCAGTAAACACACTTAACAGAGCATGAGCACTTTGCTGCTTTTGGCAAAGTATTTCTATTCCTTTAACTGGAAAATTTACCAGAAAGTAAGACCAAACAACTCAGCAAGGAACTTAACTCCTTGAAGTATCAATCACATSCCRAWARCCAGTGAAGAGCAGTCAGCTGATAAATACTTCTGTGTTGACTCTGAATCATCTAATGAATAACACTATCAGGAACTTGATGGAGCTCCTAATAWCAGGTCAGCTCTTAAACTTAAACCATCCCTAGTTTGATGAGGCTGATTTGACACTAGGGGAGTTGGCTGCTACAGAAGAGTGTACTAGTTTAGATCAGCAAATTTTACTTACTGGCTAGAGCTATGAGGGAGTTAATGTTCATTGTGATATATTTACACTGACAAACCTTTTCCAGTTAAGYCAAGGCATTAGTATTTTCCCTTTCCTTTCTAAATCTAATAGAATTATACAGAATTTTCAAAATCTATCAATGATCTTTAAGCATATATTCTGTTTATTCATACTCAATCTGAAAAAGGATATTAATTTCCTCAACTGTTGAAAGGTACAGGTTATACTTAATTTAAAATTGCCTATTTGAAATATATTTTTGGATGCCAGACAGCACATAATCCTTAAAATTAGGTGGATCTCCACTTATTACAGGRAAGACAATGCATTTTATGACAGTGATGAACATTCAGGTATTCTCCTGTTCATACTAGCTTGACGAGATCCTAAAACTGACCAAGCACAGTTCTTTAAAACATACCCAGTGAATTTTACTTTCTCTTACATTAACTTTCCTTTTCTTTAAAGTTTCTTTTCTGTGGTACCTTTGACATTTCAGTTTGATTTCCATTTTGTCTTCACTACTACTTACTTCTCTGATAGAGAAGGTGTTTAAGGATTAAAATGCACAGATAAACTGTCATAACTGAAGTATCTAAGTAAAAAAGTATTTTAAAAGTCAAAAGATAAAGGCTAGCATAAAAACTTAGGTTGCACTATATAAAGTCAGTCAGGTTATGAACAGATTCATATATTTTAGCAGTGTGAAGAAAATGGTTATGTAAATACACACAAGTATTAACATCAAACTGTATTAAATTATGTAAACATACACATCTTCTGTGATCAATACAAACATCTACTTGTCTCTGGATACTACAGCAGCATAGCTCGAATTTGTTTTGAAGTAGATTCATCATTCAGGTGTTTTGTAGTGAACCTGGAAATCACAAGTTAAAACAATAATTTATAAAATGAACAGGGATRGGAAAAGTCTGAACACTTGAACCTGTTTTTGAAATCAGCACAGTTCAGTTACACAAAGGAGGAATTTACATKTTCTACTGGTCACTGGAATTTAACTGGTAAGAATCTGGTGCTCTTTATTTTCTAAATACCCTATGCAATGAATTATGCTCTGCTAAAAGGTGRACAGCTGTGGCTAAATCCTGTTTCTCTATGACATTGTCACAGTCTTGGGTCAAACTTATCTCTCATTTTTTCCAGTTAAAAGCTCAAGAGAAGCAAAACTGCGGAAAGACGTAAGAAATACTGTAAATACTAAAAGCACTTAGGAATCTAGAATGAATTTTGGCATAACCTATGATGTCAAGCAGTTTTCTTAAATATTCTGAGATCACTGAAGAGCTTTAGTGTGTTTTTTCCATTTAAATCCAAACATTCTCCACTGCCTATGCTCATAGGCAGATTGATTATTGCGTAAGATCAAAGCACACTTGATACCTATAGGATTCAACTCCACATCAAATTTCATTCAAAAGATACAATAAGCAAATACAGAGGTGCAGTTCTCACTCTATTCAAGCACTCAACAGCTAGAGAACTCAAAACAGCTCTGAAAAACTTGGTATTGACTCCCTTCTCAGCTTCAGAGAAGTGTCAGACCCTTATGTGTCTTTCTTCCCAAAACAGCACCATAAACACTTAGCTACAGGATGGGGATTTAGGATGCTATTTTCTTGAAGCTGTATAATTCAAAAAGATTAAAAAAAAAAAAAGGTGCTATTAAGATGGAAAGAGAGAAGAGGGAAGTACTAAGGGTTTGAGAAATCTGGTATTTAATTTCTATATTGTTCTAGATGTTGGGGTATTTTATACAGCAAATCTTAGCTAGGGTACACTGTTTACAATATTAATAGCCAYTGTTTATTCAAGTCAAATGAAATGGAAATAAATTAATATTAAGAAAACCCCAGGCAATGAAGGAAAATGTAAAAGGATAAGCTTATTAAATCAAACTTCTAAAGTGAAGAGTCTTGAATATAAAGAGATTGGGAGAAAAATGAAGAGGARTTTTCTAAGGCTGAATCACACATACCTGAGAGCATTCAGAAGTCCTTCCACAGAATCAGGTGGTTGTTCCTTTAAAACTTTTATGCATCCCTTCATCTGGGAACAGAAGCATGCCACTATTGAACAATAATATATGAATTGCACTAGCGGAAAACAAGGAAATTTTTCACCATATACAGGTAGGTTTCTTTTCCTACTGTTAATGCTTTACATTATTCAATAAAAGCATTATAGCTTATTAAAAATTACCTCAAAGTTAAAAACCTAACTTTGGAGAAAATATCTATTTTAATAAGCATTTGTACGGAGTAAATTATATATCAAGTGTCTATATTTTAACTTGCACATGACTTCTCCAATTCCAAGTTAAAAATATGAAAATCAAAACCAGCTGATAAAAGGTAAAAAAAAAAAGATATTTTGGAAGTTCCATGTCATTGTTGCTAASTCTTAGAAAAAATGCTCAAACTTTGATTTTATTTTTATGTTTGCATGTAAGAAACAAATTGTCAGTATTCAGTTTTTAGTTGTAAACCTAACTGGTAACAACTTAAAATTTGTTCCATAACTAGTGGTTAAAAATTTAGTCTAAGAAGTCCATAGTATTGATTTTAGGTCTCCTCTGAATGAACATCTTTATGGAAACTATRAAGAACAGGCCAAAAGTGTCCAAATTGATAAAATGGGAAATGAAGCAGAGAGAGCAGGAGTAGAACTGTACAGACTCCTTAGCTAGCTGATAAGGAGAAACAAGAAATTCTTCTAACCTATTCAGACTATATTTTCATATGTAATGAATTATGCCCTAGAAGTACCTATTTCTTCCCACTGTTATGAAGACATMTCATCTAGCTATCCAGAAGTTAGCCTAGATTAACTCAATTTTATTAAAATAACAGATAAAGGTGAAGCCAAGTCAAGATCTGAATCCTTTCATTTTCCAAGTCACATTGGAGTGCTAAATCTACATGTCAGAATATTCTTTGCAGCTAAAGGGCATCTCTGCCTTATTAAGAAAGTGGATAGTGAAACAGTTATTCGAAGTCAAGACCCATTTATTTGCCAGCAAAAATTACTCAGAAAATGTAGCTCAATGTCCTCGACAGTGACCAGCCCAACAGACATTGCTCTCTGCACAGCTGGCTCATTTCTACCTGGAAGGTGTAACTGGCTTTGCAAATAACTGATCAGATCAGATTCTCAGGCCAGCACACATCTTTTGAAGTGGCACAGTTGTTTTTTCCTAAACTAGAGAAACTCAAATCTATGTGCACATCACTCAGTACAGGTTTACATGGCTCAGCAGATTTGATCAGATCAGACCAAGTCAAAGGGGATAACAATTCAAGGATTTCTCTTTCATTTTTGTTAGAATCAGAATCCCTAAAAGAATTAGGATATCTAAGTTAGAAGACTGTAATTAATAGCTTGAAATACAGCCTTCAGCCTTGAAAGAGTAAGGAAAGGGTAATGTACTTCACTGTTACTGAAATTTTCTTGAAATGGCTTGAATGGCAGAAATGAATAGTTTGGAGAAAAGAATTATTTTCCACAGTAAAACAAACTCATAATCTGAAATATCAGAAAACTTTTTTAATTACAGAAAAATCACTAATTACGAAATCAAGATTTGGGACCATGTACTCATTTTTTAAAACTCTCTTGCCTCCCATTTACATCTAGCTAAATTTCCTGTAAGATTACAGGGCTTTAGGATAAATGTGAGAAACAAAGTACACACAATGTCTATTTGGTYTTATCAGAATTTGTGCTGCCTCTGTAGGCAAGAGACTAAACCAGCAGTCAAGAAATCTACATTCATTCCCAGGCTCTATCTGCTTCATGACCTTGAACAAATATATTTGTGATAAATCTTTCCCTCTCTACAAAGAGATGGGGCAAAATTCTGGTATCTGCAGATACAAAATGCTAACGAAGACCCAGTGTCATGGAGGGCAATATGTTGCCTATGTTTTTTTCTTCTCTTTTGAAGCAGGCTCTCTTGTCAAGGGAAAGCTTTGGCATCTTTTTCATTAATAGTATCTTATTTCTGCTGAAAGAAGTGATGCATGAGATTCAGGTTTGYAAAAACATGTAGAAAAAAATAAGAGTGCTCTTTTTATGTGTGCTTGCAATTTCTCAAAGGGAAAAATAAGGTTGATTTCTCTGTGACTGGCCATGCCAAAGATAAAACTGAAGGGTCATTATCAACATTACAGCAGTAACATTTCAGACCTCAGACATAGGAGAGACAGCATGGAATATCTACTTATTTACTACAGAACTACTGCCAAAGATGAGTATTTTAGCATTGATAAATTAAATTACATGATTAAAAAAAACCTATGACCATAGAACATATTCCAGGCTAGGTGTAACAAAAAATTATTTTAGCCTAACTAAATATACAGTTGGCAAGAATGGAAAGCTAACAAAGAAAAACAATTATCTCTATCTGGAATAAAATRCAAAGAAAAAAATCTGGTCCTTATTTTACTTTCAAACAAATTGACATATTAAAGTGCACAGGTGAAGACAAATTCTAAATTTTGCCATTCAAAAGTAATTAAAATCATTTACACCAAGCCATAAAGCTTGTGCTGAAAAAGAGCTGCAGACTAGTATTCTCAAAACTTATTAAAAAGTATTAAAGAAAAGGCCTCCCTTACATCAATCTTTGATGTCTTTGAGAAAGCTCCCACAGGATGAACGTGATCGTACAGAATAATAACTCCCACCATTACTCGCATGCAGAACATAAGGGTCTCTTCACTGGTGAATCTACTCCTGTACTCCCTGGAAAAGAGAACAGAAGAAATAAACATTCGAGACCTTTCACTAGAYAATTAAAAAAACTAGACTGAGTGCACGAAATCTGAGCCAAAAATGTATTTTAAGGTTGCAGATGCACATTAGTGAGACTTTAAATATSTGTGAATTCTGTAAGCTCCTGCCAATTTAAAATAATTGTTTGAAAGCAGAGAGAGAGATGCAAACCTCTTGTCATACCCATGAAACAGCTGAGATCCTCAAAATGTATGTGAGGATGGCTTCATAGAAAACTTCATGAAATATGATAGAGACTGATCATACTGATGTTTAATCTCAGAAACACAACATTCTGAAATCTTGAAAGCTACTATCTTTGCTTAAATTTCTATTTTGGAACAGTTACGTGGGATCTCAGTTCAGCAGCTGGGAAGTTCAGGGCTTCACCAAGGTGGATTGTAAGTCATTGTGCTCTCTCTCTATACTGTTGTACCTCGCAGTTTACAASATCTTCAGCTTTTATTCTTCCACAGCATGTCTTTGTAACACGAACAGATTTAAAGGCTACAAAATTTTTGATGTGAAAATGCTAGATTATCCCACCATTAGAATTAAATATCAGATAACCTTCTAGATGACTCAATCTTTTTTCTCTACATTTGCCAAAAAATGAGCTGACTCATAAAGYTGCTTTTCAATTACTACTTCTATGATGTCTCAGGATTGTGAGATGAGTCCCACACCTACATACACTTCTCCAGAATTTTCATAAACAAACACAAACCTGAGGAATTCTACCCTTTCTATGCCACCATGAACAAATAACTCATAGGCAGAAAGACTACCTTGCCTCCATCTTGTATGYRTTTTCCAGTCAAAGAGACATCTAACTTAAAAAATACTCCACTAAATGCACAGCAAATAAAGAACCCCACTGGCTATTATTATCTGCATTGGCAGATACAAACACAGTTGTACAGCTGAATATGTTTAAATGAATGAAAATTCATTCAGCTCCATTTTTTCATATTTAGAATAAAGATGACTGCATCCAAAAAAAGACCTACTTAAATGATCCTTGAAACAGTGYTTGTGTTTTTGCTGAAGTGCTGCTTGGAAGAGCCAAATCTTGCCCCTCTTGTGTGCGAGTAACTGAGCAGCACAGGCAAGCAGAAGGCAGCAGTCAGCCTTTGGCCTTGGTTAGACAAGACACAGACACTGAAGCCTGTGAGTGCATAAGATTAGACTCACATTTTAACCTTTTGTTGAAATGCAGACTGACCATGTGAGCTCTCCTCAGCAAAACTCATCACTGATTTACGAAAGATATGGTAAGGTGGCCAGAACAGGAGACAAGGCTTTCTAATACCAGGTCATTCTTTGTATATGAAAGTAGTAACAACTTAGGGCAAAGATACAGGGATTCACTTAGGGAAAAAAGCATTATCGCAAGTGGCTAATTAAAGTACAAGTTCTCGCATACAAAACCCCCAAGATTTAGGATAGAACTTACGGCGTTTCCAACATGACTTTACATACACTGGCCATAGTACTTAGACAGTCTGTTGTATTTTCAATTGGTAACGTTTTGTTCTGGAAGGGTAAGAAAAAGTCAGTGTTTAGCAAACTATCTTGCAAAATCAAGAGCAAGAATGTCTGCTTTAGACCTTTCTCTCCTTTTACCTACTTCTGATACAAAATGTGTCGTTGCATTACTGAGTGTCTTCAGCATTGGTGTGGCCTCTGCATAGAACAGGGACATCCTATTGGCCATTTCATTGTTCACTTCATTCTCAATGTCTAGCTGATGAAAACAGGAGAAAAAAAACAGTCAGTAAAGCTCTTTAAAATCTTTCCAGCAACAAGAAAAAGATACAGGACATGTTTGTGTCAGCAAGCAGATTGCTGMATGAATAGTCCTCTCTAATCACTTCATCTGGACTGCTGATTAATTCTCAGTGTGAAGGAGAGAACATGACAGCTACTGAATCAAATGCAAAAACTCTACCAAAAAGGGCATAAATGCATCCTGATAAATAAATACCTGACTGTGTGCAGCACATCAAAGTTTATTTACTTACATGCATGTTGTTTATTCTGTTGCGACTTATTGTCCGCCTGTAATAACTGAAGTCGTTCTGAATTGCTGGATTTCTCATCTTCCAGGAAAACAAAGAGGAAAAAATCAGTTTTGGTTCAAAACACATGGCAAAAATCAACATGTATTAAAAGACTTTATTAACCTTAAGTTCATCAAAACGAAGAGTAAAATGTAAGATTTCTGCAAACTCTTTCGCTAGAGCCTGTTCCCGTTCCAGGTGCTGAGTTGGAGTGTAGGGAGGGCATGTCAAGGATTCCAGTAAACTCTGGAGRGCTTTCTCTGAATAAAAATCAAAAGAACAAACTGTAGTCAGTCCACACAAAGACAGGGTTTTAACTATGTGTCTAAATATAACTCATTCAAAGGAGAGGAACCCTCTGAACATGCAGAGCCCTAACAGAAGTGTTTTTTCTTACTATTCTAAAGTGAGAAACATTAATTAAAGACACCTCCCTCTTCAGGCTCTGCCATTTTCTCTCCATTTTRTATCATTGAACTCTTTTCCATTTTYGTCACCCTTTATCTGGGATCCCTATCAAAAATTCTAGAGGAAGCACTTTTCTTGCATTCAGATATTCAACACTTTTATCTTCCTCAATTAGCCATYAGTTCAGTATAGAGATTATTCTGCATATCTGTTACTAAAAGTGCACTCTTAGGCACTGATAGCAATATAAATCAGCTCCTGTGTCAGCAATTACTAGCATAACTCAAAAACTAAAAGGATTTAGAGGATGTTGTAGAAGAATTCCCTTGCATTTGGGAGCCCTCTCATTTCATACATATATTTGCATTCCAGAGTCCTAATTCAAAGAGTAATTACATCACCTTTTGTGTTTGTTGGGATGAAAAAGTCACTGTGCAACACATCCAACTTTGGATTTTCACTCTGTGAGAGATTTTATTGATACTCTTTCCCCCATTATCCCTGCTTTTAAAAAACCTSAAAATATTACTGGATTACTTTCCTTTTAAAAGTCCAAAGGATCCAAACTACAAAAAATAAATTGCAYTAGTCCAACATGGAGCAGTGAAGTGGAGAAAAGTGGCAGGAAACAGMAAAAAACGTTGTACTTTTATCATGTTTTTTGCTTGTACGCTATTTAGATAACAAACCAATAAACTATGAAATTAAGATTAAAGAGATAYCTTGATAAATGCAATTGCAGTTAAGTGTCTGTTGATATCAAACAAAAATAATAYTAACTCTTTTAAAAAGTTTGGGGAAAGACAAAACTTTCTCTTTCATTATATACGAAATATGTGTAAGACAYACCAAAACAGGGCTCACCTAGTCTGAGTGAAAACTCATAAAAGCGCTTTAGTCTCACAACCAGGGGACAGACTGAATTCCATGCTTTTTCTTGCAGCTGGATATCATTGGGATTTTGTATTGCCTGAAATGAAAATATTACTGTAAATATCTATGATAAATGAGTAACAAGCAAAAAGTGGTTTGGAATTTTTCTACGTTACTTTAAAAAGTAAGAACTGTAAAACATAGAATTCCAAGAAATTACACAGCATAGGATTTTAAAACATACTGTGCTTTTCACCTTCCCTCTCCTGTAACACACTGATCTAAAATCACTCATTGCAGTGAACCACTGACATATAGAAATATGTTCTTGCATAGTCCCTTGGCAGAAAAACTATTGTAAAAGCATCAGGTAGAACATTTTGTGTGACTGCTGGTTGCAAAAGTAGCCTTTTTTTTCCAAGTTTTGATGCTTCTGTAATCTTCAATATGTTGAGGTTTTTAAGTAACCAATGGATCACACTAAGAGTGTGATCTGAAAATCTGATGCAGGAAAAGTTTTGGTCACCTGAGAAAAATTCTAAGTYACAGTTCAAAATTGTACTTCAGGACCAGTTTCACAGAATAAGATGCCTCTAATGTGGATGTGAAGTTATAATTTACTTTGACACATTATTTCACTTACAGAGAAGAGCAAATATCTCTGTCACRTATTTCTGACACCTATTATTTCTTCAATGTCCTTAACTTTGACTTCTACCATGAGATGCATGRAACAAGGTGTATGAAATGGGGTTTCCTGAAGTGAGAAATAATAACTAATTACTAACAGAAAATCTGAAAAAAGTTCCCACAGCCATCATTTAATGATTTCACATTAGGGCTTTCTATTAAATGTTATGCATAATCTGTTACGTATTTTTAAAATACAATTTTAAGATGATTTTCATATGAATTCATACAATGTGCTTGGACAGAGAACAAAAGCAAGGAACACAATGCGTTTTGCCTGATTTTGCTTTCAAATAACTGTCATTAACARACATACATCTCTAATTTCTTGTCCAGCTCCCTTGTAAGCCTGAAGGTCTGCAAGCATGCTTTCTGAGTCCTGTAAAACTGCACTGATCTGGTTCCATACCTCCCTTTCTCCATCCGTGGGCTGTGCATCTAAGAAAGAGAAAAGCGAAATGCACAGAGTCAAAAGGAAGCTGCAGTACAAATGGCAAGATTACTCAGTTCTACTTAACAATACCATATCCAGCATGACTATGTGCAACTCCATTCTGATGTAGGTTTTTTAAAATATACARTTATGCTGCCATTCTGCTAACATCCAAGCTTCTGCTTTTTATAGCAAGGAAGGAAAAACAGTACAGTTTTTGTATGCTCTGGCTCATAATGCCTCTTCCCAAAACGCAGCATTTTAAAGAGCAGCAGTATCATAAAGCAATATTATTAGAAAATAGGATAATGCATCAGTTCCTCTCTTTCATGAGCTCCATGGCTCAATTACAAAGAATTGCTCACTTTTCTTGCAGCTTGGGGATAAAATCAGGCCTTTCAATGGATGGAGCAGTGGGATATTGCTCCACTTTGACTTTCTTCCAGGCTTTCTTAAGTAGGCTAATTTATTTCTCCTTTTTGTAAAACACAGATACAGTACTACTAAAAATAATTTTCTTCTCATGTATGTCAGGGATCATTCCTGCCACTAAAATAAATCCAACTCTGCCAGTAATCATTTTCAGGGTGTGAGTGACCTGTAGACCTCAACTGTTGAGAGAAATGACATGTGAAAGTAGATCAATTTTCCTATTCAAATCTCCTCCTATGGGATTTACACAGCAGTGTGACACCAGGGATGATGTTAGCCCCAGAACACTGACACATTAGACAAGGTAGAGATCTTCTATCTTTTTTTTTTCCTTTATAACATAAAGATGATAGGCTCTGACCAAAGACTGGATGACCTAGACATGGGATTGCAGTCAGTACGTGTAGGAACAATGACATTGTTCCAGCAGACTTCTACAGACACACAACTATTTTTTCCCCTTAGATTTGTATTAGCTTGTAAAGATATGTTAATTTTTATGAAAGAAAAAATTACTTTGAAGTTGAATCTTAGAACTTAAAGACTTCTTGTTTGATTTAAAAGTAATGGGATCTTTACTTTTGACTTCAGTTCAAAACTCACTGATTAGGATGAGCAACTGTGTTCATTGCTACATTAATAGACAAGAAATATTAAAAATACTTTTTCTGTTTAGTTGTCTCACTCTCCTTAAGAAAAYTGACAGAGTTTTCCACCTATGTGTTAGTATGGGATTCATTCATCCAGTCCTCATTAGAAACAAATGAACTGGTTCACACTGGAGCGTATGGAAAACAGGCATTCTCTCTATGGTGTTTCAGGTTCAGATAATTTGTTTAAATGCTTCTAGTTATCTATGCACCTTGCATGAACAGGACACTAAACACTGAGATTTACATATCTGCAGCTCTAAAGCAATTCATACTTAAAACCTTTTCTATATTTCTATGGCACCATGAGTCCCATGAGCACATAATACTGATTGGACTTTCCTTTTATTCTGGAAGTTTTCCTTTATCTTATTCAAAAATTGAAAATAAACATAACTTGTGCTTACTTAGGTGGGTTTTATAGCCAAAATACTTCATGTAACTGAAAAACTCCACTATCAAAAAGTGAGGGAAAGGAGCATCAAAGGGACAAACTGTCTGTCCAGGAAAATCCCAGCTGGAATGACCAGCTGTTGAACTGACCCATCAGTCACATTCAATTTACAGTGTTCCAGATGGTTCTTTCCTCAGGCTGCAAGAAATCTCAGGTACACACCAAAATGGATTTTCCACCTTGTGATAAAGAAGCAAACCAGCAAACTGTTGTGACTTGAATGAAGAAAGCAGTGATTCTGCAAAACAGTTACGTACCATACAACAACAGAGTAGGGGACACATAAAAATCAGTATCTATATTTTAACAGTTAAATAAGTTAATGAAAATAACATTTTCAGTGAATACTAATACAAAATAAAATAGGTAATTTGTTAGTGCAGTTCATGAGTGTAAAATTTGCATGTGCAGGTCACCTGATGCTTGTTGCTAACCTTGCTGGTTAACAAGGTACTCCTGTGTTAATTTTTACAATTTTTATGCTTCAAAAGTACTAGCGCTTAAGGGGGATGTAAATGGTATAAACTTCGGGACTTCAAAATGGACTTTAGTAATACCCTTTATTGTAAGTCTTTTCCAAAATTTTCCAATTTATCTTTTGGAGGTTAGTGGAAAGAGGAACATTTGAAACTCATTGAGCTTTCTGTAGTATCCCAGCAGCTGGGGAAGTAGGAGCAAGAGGCAGATAGGTGCGTGGAAGAGGCAAAGCAAGGGAAGGGAGAAGSAATAGGGCTGCAAAGGCTCCAGAGCAACAGGCCTAGCTTGCATTTGCAGAAGCAGTTTATGTTGGAAGTGTTTAGCTTAAAAATAAAGGTAGGGAGGATGATTMAGGCTTCTTTTTTAAAAAACCATGCATCTTATTTATGAAATAGACATTATGCAAACAGATGTTCTGCTAAGACCATGGCTGTGTTTCAAAAGGGATTTTACAAGATCCTGCCAAAAATGGTCAGCTAAAGTAACTGTAATGGATCATTTTGAAAACAATTCCATTTTACTGTCAACAACAATAATAATAACAACTAAAAGGAATTGAGACTTCTTTATGTCAGATTATGACTTTTAAAACTGGCTTCCTATTCCAACAAAACCAAAGCTTGTTTCTCTGCTCTGAATTTAAAAAAATGCCAATCATGAATCCCAGTGTGGAATCACTGCTTGGCTGTGCTCTACCTCTTATCCCCACACCACCAGAGAAATAGCATGTGCTTCAGCAACCTGAGACCATTTATAAATGAAACCACTGCCACAGACTAACCCAGGGTGAATATAAGCCCTCTCAGTAACAAGTTACCATAATGGCCAGACTGAGAGTGTTTCAAGTCTGAGTTTTTAGAGTACTCATTATTACATTAAAGCATTCTGTCTTTAATAAGACAAAATAGATAACACTTTTACCTCCCTTTGAACAAATGTTTCTAATGTGAGCCCTAAACCAAACAACTACATGAATCCTGTATTAAATTAAAACAAAAGTTACCTGAGGCTTGAATCTTCCATATACAGATTCTACCAGCAAAATTTGATTTTTTTTTTTTAAATATACTTTCACTGAGTCCATCAGAAATAACCAGGATATGGTAGCTCATCCACTCCATGAACACATGCTCTCTTTCACCTTTACACATGGTCCATGCCATGTTTTGGATGGAATTTCAGGTATCATAAAAAAACTGCTAGATAGGTAAACCAGTACTCATAAGACAAGACTATATATAGAAAGGATGTGCTACCTTTACCAATACCAAAYGAAGTGTAACAATATCTCAGTAGATAATTTTAATGAAGAAAGAACAATACTAATAACAATACTAAAACAAGCAATTCCAACTCAMACACCCTTTCTGAATCTGAATTGCAAACCAAAAGCTCAGAACTTTATTCCACTCTTAGGTGGTTAAGAGGATTCCAGCTGAGGCTGGTTAGTTCTTCATTTCAGTGAATGTAGAATCATATTTGCCATAAAAACACCGTAGCCTTCTGGTCTCCACAGCATAGCAAAAAGAAAGCAAGTAAAGAGCATTCACAGGCTCTGCTTTCAGCTTTTCTTGTCATGTCCACCACTCAACATGGCAAATAATTCYATCAGCCAGCAAGTTAGAGAGCAGTACATATTTAACTGCACAATACTAAAATCCTAACTCAGATTTGTCACCATGACAATGATTTTTTCCCATGCCAATCTGGGACAAAATTAAAAGAAAAACTCTKAGAAATGAGCAAAGGCATTACAACTACAGTGAGTACCAGAACCTGTTATACTCCATACATTAAAAAAAAAACAGTATTGGGTAGAAACAGTACCCTATCCAGGCTACAAGGGATTTTTGAATTTCATTCTTTCTAAACTAGCTAGTGTAAAGTGAAGCTCAYTAAATTGTTAATACTGGCTCCAGGCAGAGTGCTGTGCCAAGGAGATCCGTGCTGGGCTCCAGCTCYGTGTTGGACAGGGGTTGGACACACAGCATCTCTGACTGAGCTGCAGTTTCTGGCTCAGGGCACTCTGAAGTTTGGGAATCGAGTGTAACTTCCCCCAGGCTGGACCCAGATTATATCCCCAGCCTTGCCTGTGCAGCAAGGGTATTAATTAATAGCCTATTATGCGAAAAGTGAGCAGTTGCTCTGCTGCCAGACATGTTCTAATAATAGACCCTTTTAATCATACATGAATAATAATTGAAATTTTCATTAATCTTTTTGGGAGTTTGGGGGAATGCTAGAAAATAAGATTCTTGGGAGGGGATGAGAGGGATTTAACTAGGATCAAGTCCACCTAGCTAACRTTTAAAAAAAAAAAARAAGAACCTGCTCAATTATGGTTAGAGAGGTCTTATAAAAGTATTTGAGAAGATGGGACTGTAGGTGTCACTTAAGGACATCTCCTCCCAATAAGTTATAAGCTTTAGTCTTTTAGATTCGAAACGAATCGTTGCCTCAACTTTCAAATTATTTCCAAGAATTCAWGTGGAATTATTTGTTTACTTTGCCTGAAAAAGGCAGCAGTCGTTTGACAACAGATTTTCTGCAAAAAAGAGCAATTTTAAGACAGTACTGAAAGAGCTCAAATACCCAGAATTCATTTATCTGCAAGTAATTTAAATAAGGTCAGATTTAAAGAACAAAACAGTTCTTTTACTGAAAAAATCCATTCCAGAGAATTTGCCCTGAAATCCAGAAATCCACAGACTATGATGAYTTGCCAGGTACTCACTTTTCCTAATATTATTTTCAAGCTGAGAGTTATGAAGGAATTAAGGTAAAATTAGGGATATACAATCAAACCCAAGAGGTAGCAGTCTGAGTAAAAATACCCCCATCAAGATCCAAGAGTAAAAGAGCAATGTGATGAACTTTCTAAGAAGGATGGAATTACTTTTCTTTACTTAAACCTTTCAGTAGATCTTAAAAAAGAGTAATTTCGCTGAATGTATTTAGTCTGCAATATCCTTCAAAGAAAAGGCCTTTCCACCTGCATAGAGAATCTTATTCTCCAGAGATCCAGTGTAACTGCCCAATTCTAAAATGAGTACTGGGGTGCAAACAGAACTGTTTTTGCTATATAGCATTAACTGAAATTAATGCTGCATTCAAGTTTTGTCAAGTATGACCATGGAGTTACAAAACTTGGATTCCARTTTGGATTGAAGAGTAATGTTAGGTGTCAAAAAGAATCACAATTGACAATGTGGACAYCTGCAGGAAAGCAGGGAAAAAGAGAGAATTTCTAACWTTTTTTTTYCYTTTTTTTCTTTGTAGACAGCTAATGTGTGCAAAAAGCACACAGAAACTTGAAAGCAATGTGCTGATGCAAATAATGAATATAGTAAACACATCAGCTCAGGAGAGATCTCATCCTCCCAAAGGCCAACTGTAGTGACCATGTTCACCCATGAGCTCAAACTCACAGCTCAGGCCACAGAAAGCCACACGTCTGGCAAGCCCACACCAAACTCTGACCAGTGTTCACCGACTCAGAGTGTCTTTTGCACTGTATGATGGCCAATTAAGGAGACAAAGCACAAAATCACAGCCCTTTTCAGTCACATCCCTTTGACCCAGTATAGATTTTGTGCCACTAAAAACCTCTGGGACTGAACTTTGTGAGAAAACTTTTAAACTCCCACAAGCATGAAATTCCCTGAAATTTGGAGATGACAGTTTTGTTCCTCTCCAGCTAGAGGTGCCTGACTAGTGTGCCCCAACCACTGGCACCTCCCGTGGGAGAGGAGACTTCATTCAGTTCCTTGCYACGTGCTTTTGGRAAAAAMAAAMMAAMAAACAAACAAACCAACCTCAGCTGCCAAGGCAACAAATTCAGTATTTCCTCCTCTCACCACCACCTCTACCAAGCATCCCCATTGTCAGACCACCTGTTTCCTGCCATGCCTGCAGCCTGGGTCAGGAACAATTTCTTGCCAACAAGGACACAATGGGGCTGATTAAACCTGGAAGCTCAGAGCAGCTGGAAACTTTCATAATAGCTGGCAAAGCCACAGAGGACTGCCAAGGCCCTTAAAAGTTCRGTAGAAAAAAATTAAGTAGTGGTTTGGATACAGGTTTGACATCCTGGGATGAYAGTAAAAGCTTCCAATTACATAAAAAATAAGGGAATACATGGCTTCTTGTAAACCCAAACTAATTAACCTTTTCCTCATCATTTAAAACTGATTTTTCACAGTGAGATAATTAAGCTCTAGATGAGAAAATTAAGGTATGTATGTCCACAGCTCCAGTCGTACATTCTAGCTCTCATCTAAGAAAGCAAGTTTGAACCATTTAATGARATTTAAGTATATGTTTACATGACTTTTTGAAGCAGTGCTCCCAAGTGCACACACACATACATGCTCAAAGCATGTCAGTTACTTTTTTTTTTAGAAAACTAATTCAGGAATGAATGATTAAAGAACAAAACTATTTCAAGATGATAAAATATGATAAAACCATGCTACAAGAGGAAGGYATTTAAAAAACTCTGGATTTTCTCAAAACCTTTTTGTTGGCTATTTTTTTTTTATAGAATAGAGGTATTAAGAGAGAAAACATCACAGACTGTTAGTGTTCCAAATAAAACACATTTCACATATGTAGTGAAGACATACTAAACCCATATTAAAGGATTTGATGACAGTGTCTAGAAGTACATGTGGAGAAACTGTGGTCAGCAAAAGTGAAAACAGCTTTGAATCAAATATAGATGTAACAAGGAAACTGTAATGGAAAATACTGTTCTGCAAACTGATAACCATGCCATTTAGAGAGATGCAATCAAGCACATACACTTTGGCCACTTCACCACTATTTACAAATTACAAACCCAGCTACATCATCACTGAACCAAGSAAAACTAGTTCCACCGCTACTACTTTTTTTCAGCTTTTTATTTCCAACATGTATTTCCATTCAAGTAAAAATCACAACTTTTTTTAACCCTGATTTGTTAAAGAAAGTTGAGGTCGAGTTCATTCATATGTAAATTTAWCAATGGCTCATAAATGTTTTGAATTTAATTCAAGATAAGGTTTTACTTGCATATCTACCTTTCTGCTCCTTTCCTTGCTCAGAATGAATTGAAGTAATTTTGTATGGTTCTGTAAATATCAAAAAGCAATATTCTACTGAAATGYAATTTGATTTGTTTGCAAATCCCTTTTGAATTGCTTTATGATGCATAAGCACATGCAGTTTATTAGGAAATAATAAGCAAAGAAGGCAAGCCAGGCAAGAAGCTTTGCTCACTTTCAAAGTCAAGGAAAAAATTTGGCCCCTGATCAAGCTCTGTGCAAGTGAGAACTTTTAAAAGATTTCCCATTTGGTTCCTGAAAAATAGAAAAGGAAGAGAAAAGGAGTCCTGAGTGAACAAATGATTTTAGAGACAAGGACTTGGACAGATTGGTTGTGCTGGAAAATACACACTGTAAGCAATCAGACTTTAAAAGTTTTTCCTCAGTTTGCTGTTAAATCAGGGAAAAAATTCTCTCATTGTCTTGTAATTGTTTGAACTTACTTTCAAAATCCAGGAAAAAATGTGGATAGTTTTCAATTTCCCTGGTAAGGACCTTAAGAAGATTACCCATCCCAGCAAACCTAGTAAATGCAACAAAATCATAAACAGTTATACATGTAAACTCAGAATACTACAGTTAAGGGCTTGACACAGTCTGCATCATATACATATATCATATATTCAACATTTTGGCAAGTTCTGGACCATGAAACATTTTGATGGTCAACTCTGTGATATTTATGCATGGAGGCAGAAAGACCTGAGATAAACACAAATAATTCTATTCAACAAACTGGAATTTAAACATCCCAGTGTATAAACAAATATTTATAAATTTATTTACTAGCAAGAGAAACAAACTCAGAGTACATCTCTATTTGTAAATTCTCTAAATTGCAGGACTCCAGATTACTAAATACTATCTCGAAGTAAAAAGGAGGYCTTAATACTTGTCCTAGAACCTTCAGCAAAAATCTATGCCATTTTAAGAAAATAACTCATTATAAGGAAAAATAAGTTCTAGTTGTTTCCAATCAGTAATATAAAATATTACTATAAAATTCTATCAAAAAGGACAGCTAGAAAGTTTTATAGCTTTTAAAAATGTATTTTAAAAAAAGGAGAAAAAAGAGGAGGTTTGAACTCTTTTTCTCTGTTATTCCTATCTTTTATTATTAAAATTATTAATTATTATTTTATTATATTTATTTATCTTGTAATTCTTTGCAATTCAGGTTATGAAAAACTCCCAAAAGGAAAAATGACCAGTTCTCAAAAAAGCAAGTCTCYATGGAAGATAAAAAGGAAGGAGATTTGAAAAATTGTTTTTTACCAGTACAGTCCTTAGGAAGATAAATTATTCTAAAACTATGTAAAAGTAGAGCTTTCTTGGTCAAGCTTAAACTTCTCCTCAAAAAAGAGAAAAATTTAACATGAAAAGCAAATATCAGGATAAAGAGATCTGCCTGGAGGGATGTAAGAATGTAATTTTGGATTTAAAACACCGATTGAAAACTGACTTTTCCCTCAAAGAGAAATACTCTCATTACTCTAAACCACGGCTCTTGGGGCTCACATCTGATCTTCATCTGTGATTCAGTTCAACTCTTTTCCCACTTAAGAAATCAGACCACAAAAATTTATTCTAAGCATGTATATGGCTGATACTCCAYATGAGGAGACACAGCTTTCTTCAAGTTTTCCCATAAGCATTACAGTAGGAAAAGTATCATCAACCCTAATTTCTATGTGCATATAAAGGATGCATTTCTACATCAGGAAAACCTAGGAAAGTAATGYGAGACTTAGAGATATCAAAGCAGCCACAGTCATACCATAAAATGATATAAATTTAATCAATAATCTGTTCAGAGCATGCAGTTTCATGTAAGTAAGGTTTTTGTWAAATAAATGGCTTTATTTTGCATTAAATACTTCTTCAAAATTTTTTCTCCAGAACAAATGCAGTAAGCAGACTGTCAAGCCCTTTATAATTAGCAACATCTTGCATATAGAAAACTGAAACAYAAAGAAACATTTTCCATTATTTGTAAAAATATATTTGTTTACATGCAGGAAAAATATTTACACTTTTACTTTCAGAACAAGAGCAGAACCTTATAAACTGAGTTTGACTTTCTGATTAGCCTAGAAAAGGGAAAAAATATGCAAACAGAGCAAAATAGATGTTATATAGGGTTAAAACTTGTATCTTCAATAATTCAACATTTTTATCACACTGGTATAATATATTTTATCAGCATCAGCAAGGAGAAACAAGTTAATGTACACACACTTATTTTCCTTTTCATAACCTTAAAAGAAAAAATTATATTATGTAATACTATCACAATCTAAATGACTGACTCAGCTTGGATTCTTCACTTTCAACTCTTTTTAAGCCATCTTACCTCATTGCCTTCAATCTTCAGAGAGTATCCAAGCATTTCTTCTACTGCCAAAGCTTGCACTGCATCCAGAACTGGTTTAGCTGATAGCATGCTTCCAACAGCGAGGAACCCTTTGTGCCAAAAACCTGAGGATACGCTCCCTCATTTGCATTGAGTAGCTTGAGGTCATGTGCCCAAGCTCTGCCTTCTGATCCTTCTTACACAAGTATGGCACATCTCGGCTTGGGAGATTTCTGAGTATTTTTCCGGAATTTTTGTTTTATTTCCTAGCTTGTTTTTCACTTTATTCCCTCTCCTTCAATCCCTGTGTAGAAACTGATCCAGCTATTCAGGTCACAAGTATGAAACAGAAGCCCTCACAAACTTACATGCACGAGTTCACGCAGGCAGCATTTTCCAATAAACCTCATGGTTTGATACCATCTATTTTCAAGTGTATCAGCCCCAAAAATAGTCATATTCAACAGCCAGAAATTATGATTCATGCAGCTCCTAAACATATTTTGATTATTTAGGATTTTATATAATTTCTTTATGGTTCTCTAAAACACAAAACTAATAGAAACATCAGGTTCCAAGAAACTTTCAAGTGTAACTCATCATTCAACACTGTCTTTAATTCTGAATTAAAACGCCAACCTTAACCTTGAAGGACGAGCTAATAAAACACAAATCTTTGCTTCAAASRATATTATTTTATTCTGCATAACTTRMTGCTTCYCAGTAGTTGGCTTGYTCAAACTRTCTTTCCTCAAAARCTCTAATAACRTATTCCAAACCTCAGGAACTGAAAATCACCTCCAGGATAATTTTAATGAGATTTCAAAGTAACTAATGGCACACATTCTAAGCAGGTCAATATATATACTGTGGTTGCAAGAGAAATGCAAAAACAGCTGATGTACAGAAGCAAATCATAAAGTTTAATGTAAGAGCATAAAATTCTATTTCACTAAACTGGAAAGCATTTTATTTTTCTTACTGTAAAATCAGTTTAAATGTCGAAATGAGACTAAATGCATATATAAAAATATTGCTGATGCTGCACCACTACATGCTAGCARCTTCTCTTTAGTGCCTAAATCCCTCAAAATAACAACTTTTAACTATGCCTTAAAAATTATGACATGTTGACAATGATGTTTGCATTTTATTTTTCTCTATTGTTTTCCAAACCATTAAAGCTTACATATATATACTGSAAATATACTGAAATGTATTTATTATATACTTAAACCCACTTTTGAAAATTTAGTAAGTGTTCACAAGCTGGGTATTATTAACTGAACACTGAATATCCAAGGCTAAATATCATGTTATTCAACTCTTCTTTAAAATCTTTGCACAGTTTTAAGCAATCACACAATTTCAAAGTGTGGAGTTTTGCACTTTCAAGTGACAGCTACAGTACTATACAAATTGCTAGARAAGTACTGATTGATTTCTTCTCTTACAGGACTAATTTAATAAGTAGCAATTCAACAACGTCAGCAGCACTGCAGTACACTGAAGGTGTAACAGAGAGACAAAGCTTTTGAACCTTGTTTTAGTGAAAAAGGACACATTCACAAGCTCAAGCCTTTGCAGCTCATCAGTGCTCCTTTGCCAAATAATATTTCCTAAATCTGTCTGCTCACATAAACATGGTCTAAAAGGCTTTTGTCAGAATGAGCTGGATCAGCAAATGCTAACTGCTTAACCTCATTTACATCATCCTAACGAAAGCAGGGCTGTGTGTGTTCTCATGAGCAGCTCCACTGGGAGTTTCAGGAGAAACAGAGGCTCAGGAGTGGCAATGGATGACTGAGAATTATAACTTCTAGGGGCACACCTACGTGGGTCGAGACAGGAGGCATCCAGTCCCCAGTCCGAGGGAAATGTATTAAGCACATCAGGAATATTAAAGCACTGAACTGACCTTACTGCATGAATAATTAATTGTGGTTTCAAGAATACCAGCATCTGAACAAACTGAAGATCTCAGATCAAAAGCATGATTCCAAATCACTGTGATATTCACTCACAGCTTGTTGAGGTGCCTATAAGGAAACAGCAGAAGTGCAATATTCAAAAACTTATCTTGAGGAAACTGGCTGCTCATGGCTTGGACAGGTGCCCTGGGTAAGAAACTGGCTGGACCAGAGTGGTGGTGGAATGGAGTTAGATCCAGATGGTGGCCGGACACCAGTGGTGTTCCCCAGGGTTCAGTACTGGGGCCGGTCCCATTTAATACATTTCCCAGTATGAGGGGATTTGCAGTGGTGAGGCTGCACCTCAAGCGCTGTGTCCAGTTTTGAGCCCTCACTATAACAAAGGCATTGAGGGGCTGGAGTGTGTCCAGAGAAGGGAAATGGGGAGGGACTGGAGCAGAAGCTGATGAGGAGCAGCTGAGGGAGCTGGGARTCATTAGCCAGGAGAAAAGGAGGCTCAGGGGAGACTTCATCACTCTACACCTSCCTGAAAGGAGGGKGTAACCACATGGGGCTTGGTCTCTTCTCCCARGCAACTGRAGATAGGGTGAGAGCACATGGCCTTGAGTTGCACCAGAGGCTCAGCTTGGACACCAGGAACTAATTCTTCATGGAAAGATTGGTTAAACATAGGAACAGACTGGCCAGGGAAGTTGTGGAGTCATCAGCTCTGGAAGTGTTCATGAAACAACTGGACATGGCACTTAATGCCATGGTCTAGTTGGCATGATGGCGTTCAGTCAAAGGTTGGACTCGATAATCTTAGAGCTCTTCTCCTACGTAAACGATTCTGTATCAATTGCACTCTCAGTCAGTTGACAGATGACACCAAGATGGGCAGGAGTGTCGATCTGCTGGAGGGCAGGAAGGCTCTGCAGAGGGATCTGGACAGGTGGATCTATGGGCTGAGGCCAATTGTGTGAGGGTCAACAAGGCCAAAGGCTGGGTCCTGCCCTTGGGTCACAGCTACCCCAGGCAGTGCTACAGGCTGGAGAAGAGTGACTGGAAAGTCGCCAAGAGCAAAGGGATCTGGAAGTGCTGGTCAACASCARCTGAACATGAGCCAGGAGCGCCCAAGGGACCAAGAAAGCCAATGGCAYCCCTGGCTGTATCAGCAWCAGAGTGGCCAGGACCAGGGAAGTGGTAATGAGCAATAAGACGAGAGGCAATGGCTGCAAGTTGTACCAGGGAYGTTTGGATTGGATGCTARGAAAAATTTCTTCTCTGAGAGGGCTGTGAAGCATTGGCACAGKCTGCTCAGGGAAGYGGGTCAGTCACCATCAACTGCAGGTATTTAGAAGATTTGTAGATGTTGTGCTTAGGGACATGATTGAATTGGCAGGATCACTTTAAGAGTTGGACTCAATGAACTTTGAGATCTTTTCCAACCTAAACRATTCTATGACTATTATTTATTCCCATCAAACTTCACAGTAGGTATCTTTTTAATAGTCTCACCAAGTTTCTTACTGTTGAGAGTTTTAGGATGGATATAGTGCTATTATTATCTTTAGTTGTTTTACTGGTAAGTGTTTAAATCTTCTAAACTGTAGTGGCATTGATGAAGAAAAATATAACAACTAATATTTAATAGTCTCAATTGTGCAAATACAGTTAGTTTTCAAAAATAGTATTATTCCTCTGTGGACTTTATTACAGAAATAAGTTAAAAATCGTATTATTATACTAAGAAAAATGTAAAAATAGTAATACATTTGTGTTTGAGGTGTCAGTTGCACAAACCCCCCAAAGACATTAGATATTGAAGTATGTACAGTATTCTCTAGAAAGACACAGAGAARAGGAAAACATAGCCAAATTCTTTTCAGAAAGCAAGCTATATTCATTTTCCAGAAAAAAAATGAAATGATCCCCAGTGCTGGCCTCTAAACACTGTATTTATAAAGTTTTCTTAATGCAAAAAGCATACATAAAGTGCACCAAGTGGCAACCTGTACACGAGCGAAGAAAAATCAGTGCCACACATTCCTTAGGCAGGTGAAGTATGAACAGACAAAGCCAAATTCCAACAAAACTCAAAATCAGAAAATAGCTATACAGAAGTGAAAAGTGGAATAAGAGAAGAAAGTTGCTCAAGGTGAAACTAATTCAAGATAAAAGAATCATTCCTTCTTTGARCAACCATTTTACTAAAATTTGTAGTTAAGGAACAATTCTAGCCAAGAGCTTTTGCTGTTAACTGATACGCAGATTTCAGGACACAATTAAAATCTACAAAAAAAGTGATGCAAGTCAAAGGGAATTAATAAATGGTTTGTAATGACAAGTATGTTTTCACTAATCATAACATGTTAAAAGAGTTGGCCAACATTGGTACCTGTAGCCCCAAGGATTACAGAGCTTGGTTTGTGGTTTCTCTAAAATTAAAAGGTAAAAAAGAGAAAAAAATTACCTCAGATGAACCTTAAATTTAGCAGGGGATTTATCTATATGCCAACCCTCACACCTAAATTTACTTTGAACAGAAYTCCTATATATTTTCAAAGTATGCAATATCAGAGTAGCCATCATGAAAGAATGAAAGCCATGCAACCAAAATACCTGGATTTTGATTCATAGGTCATAATAAAAAACAACACAAACCAGACAAACAAAAAAACCACCAACAATTAAGTAATTAGAGTAAAATTACACCTGAATGTAAAAAAACACTGTTGCACTTTGATCGTTCTGCCTTTTAGCATAGAGTAACTACAGCAACCGAGTCTGAATATGGTGTTGTCTGCACAGATGCTTTACACAAACCAGGGACACAATTCCTCTGTACACAACTGACAGAGTCTCCATCAATKCATGCAATCAGGTAAGCAAAGGACRATACCAAAGCTTACCAAACTRATTCACAGCAGRGARACACCTTYAAAAGATAMAGGACAGGTYTGGCAAGTTTGAGTGTTTCTTCCTTCAAAACAAAGTCACTGTATTGTGTTCCAAGTGGAGTTTCTCTTAGTTCCTCCAAAATCTTGTAAGAGAGCCACACCATCATCTTCCTTTTCAAGGTTTCCTTGTCCTCACCACCTCTCACCAAAATTATAGTGAGAAATGAAATAAGGCATCTTAGAAAACACAYAATTTTGGAAATAGGATGATTTGAACATTTGAGAAGGTATCTCAAATGGTTTCAACATTTTTGAGTATAATGAGTGAAAAATCTATGCTAGATCTATGAATCAGAATGAGAAACAGGACTCTTGGGTGAAAAACCAGAAACAGAAAAAAAATGTTCCTGGTCCTTTCTGCCTGTAAATAACTGCTGATTATTCAGCCTTCYGACTATGCCATACAGAGCATTTTTATTATACTCACAGAAAATCCAGCACAAGTGTCTGAAAAACAAGAYGAAAACCATCATATTATAGTTCTCTGGGCAACTATGGTAAAAACCTGCCACAGAGTGATTTTATTTTCCAGTTATTTCTTGTGCCAGCTGATAACAGCAGTAAGTCTTTGCATGCTAGCTTTCTTCTCTATTTTACTTCTCTGAATTTCAATACATAWATGCCAAAACAGTACATCTAATCTCAGTAAGTCAAACATAAAATCTACAGGGACTGAATTTCTTAGTGCGTATTTCCTAGTTATCTGCTCTGAACGTGTCAGCATGTAGGATATAATGCATTTTGCCATTTTGTATTTCTGATTTAGAGGGTATTAAACTATAAAATATGGATGTGAAGCAGTGTTTACAAATAC